TTACAGAACTCAATAAACAAAGAATATTATTTTAAATTTTGCATCAATTTTTAGTAAATTTTCATAAATTATTTAATATTATATTGAATAATTTTAAAACTATATTTAATCATAAACTATCAGCATCTATTGTCAGTATCTGTACTCTTCGAAAGATATTTACCATTTTAAAATTGTTTGATTTCAACTCTCCCATTTAAAATAATCATACCAAATCCATTTTTTAGATCTTTACTGTAAGAACCAATGTATATTTATCCATTAGGCCATTCAAATTATCCATATCCATTCATTTAACTATTTTTCCAATATCCAAAATATTTTCTTCCATCTTTATAGATCATTTTACCAAATCCACACATTTGATTATCAATAAAATTTCCTAAATAATGAGTTCCATCCTCCCATTAATATCTTCCTAACCCTTCTCTTTTATGATTCATAAGATTTCCATTATAGTTTTATTCTGTTCGTATTTAAGGAAAATCTAAGTAAAATTCTTTGATCTGAATTATAGGCTTTAAAAATTCGTTATAATATGTTCCGAATAAAATTTTATTAAAAAACCATCTTCCTTCAAAAATATCTCCTGTACTTAAAATTAATCTTCCTAAACCATGGATCTATCCAAAAATAAAATGGCCTTCAAATAATATCGAGGATTTCTTAGAAATTAGTTTACCAAAACCATGTGCTTTCTCATTATAAAATTAGCCATAATAAATTAAGTCACTATTTAATTCATAAGGCTAATTTAAGTTCAAGAACCTTTTGAAAATAGCTTAATCAACCTATTTCTAGAGAAATTAAGCAAAGATTTTTGGTTTATCATTTTATTTAATTAGTTCAAAAGTTGAACCTTAAATGAACATAGAATTCAGAGAATTTTTAATTTCAGCTTCTGTTTCGAAAGTGGTATCTGTAGATTCAATTTCTTTTAATGCATTTTTTAAATTATTTTCAAAATGAGTGAGATTCTTAAAAGGAATTTCTAACATTTACAAATAATATATTATTGACAAAAAATAAAGATCATTCAATTTATTTTCCATCTTACCATTTGGAGATTTTAGGTTAATGATTAGATTACATTAAAACTGCAGCACCATGATTTAATCCATTAAGAAATTCACCAAAATATCTAATTCCACTTTTATATTTAAATACTCCAAAACCATTTCTTTTGCTTTATTTATAAAATCCTTTATATTCTTCTAAATTTGGCCAAATAAATTAACCAAATCCTTCCATTTCTCCATTAACCCATTCTCCTTTATATTTTCTACTATCTGCAAATTCCATAATACCAAATCCATTAATTTAATCATTTTCAAATGAACCTTCATATTTAGTACCATCTTTCCAAGTATAAATTCCTTTACCATGTCTTTTACCATCAAGAACTTACCCTTAATATATAGCTCCATTTGGAAACTCTAATTTTTTTTTTTCCAGTTTTGTATTTTTCTAACATTCATCTTCAAAATCTTTAAACATACCATTATCACCAAGAATTTTATCAGCAAAAAATTCTCCTTACTTAATTTATTATAACACTTACATAATGTGTTCCATCTTCATAAATTATTAAACCTTTTCCATGTTTAATGTCACATGAAAATTATCCTTCATAATAATATTATTTTTTCTTGTAATATTTACAATAACCAAATTTACGTTACATAATTATTTTACCAAGAAACCATTCTTTAGCATCTTCCTTCTTTTAAGCTTTCTCATGAATTTCTTTATCTAATAAAATCTCATCTCTAATTTTTTTTATTTGTAGAGGCAAATAAAACTAAAAGGTAATTGAAAAAAATTTACATTTTGAATGATTTAAGTTTTATTTCCTTAAGTTTAAATTCTTTAATTAGAAAACGGTGAAGTTGATTTGTTATTAATAATTTAAGTTTTGGCATGAGTATTTTTGTGAACATGTATTCCTGAATCACTTGGCATTGTTTTTTCATTACTTATTTTACTTTATGGAGCTGTTTCTTTTTATTTCATTTTTTTATTTATTTTATTAACTAAATTAATCAATATCTTCAAATAATATTTAATTCAATCTTTAAAATACCATTTAATATTTGATTTACGTTTTAATTATTAAAAAATATAAATAAATCTAAGATTCTAATTTAGATAATATAATATAAGTTATCAATTATGTTCACCTAAATCTTTTTGGAATTTCTTTTATTTTTTTTTCGGAAAAATCACGTTTACTAACACTTTCATATTATCCCTGGAAAGATGGAATATTTGGTATTGTTAAAGAGGTATCTAAAGCAAGTTTTTTAGCTAGAGAAGGTGGAACTATTTTATGCTATTTGATCTTCATAGTTTTAAAAAATCTATGTGATTCACTTTATCGAAATAAAGCTACATTTGGACTTATTGGATTACTTATATATTTATTAATAAGGAATTTATTACTTAAACATACTTTTTCCTCCAAATATAAGATCTTTGTCAGGAGTTAAAGATTTATATTATCGTTAATATTCTGAAAAAGCATCCAATTTAGTCCCTTCCATTATAGTTTATGGATAATCTAATTTTAATTAATATGGTTCATCCACTAATAATATATATTAGTGATATACAATGAGGTTTTTGGTCATGTAATTTCTGATATGTAGTATTATGAAAAAAACCTTCTCTTATTCTTTTCTAATTTGGAAGACAAGCAGTTTATGGTCTTAACATTGGATGTTTTGTTTTATCATAATATTCTATCTAAGTAAATATTAATGTATATACTTATTTTGAAGATTCAAGCTTAAACATTGGATTTTTGTCTTTGAATTCCTCAGGTGGATTGATCTTTTTGGCTTTACAATACTTTTTATTATGAAATTCAGTAAAGTATTCTGATAAATGTTGATTACCTACTTTTGTAGAAATTTGATTTTTCTCTATGGACAATTATCTTTACAATTATTGCTATATTATCATTTATATTTATAAATTTTTTACTCAAATTAAGAATAAAATTGAATATTCATGTTAATTTCAACCAAAACCATTATCTCTACATTATTTTTTTGAGTTCTATTTAATCCTATACATATTTAAATTTAGAAAAAGCTAATTGTCTTTTTTTTATAAACTTTTATTAAATATTTACTTATATTATCTAATACTTTAAATTATGTAATTATGTTTGTATAAATAATTATATATAGAAGTTATTTAATAAGTATGTTTTGACATAAATACAATAATAGAAAGAAAAAAATAAATTTAATAAATATATTAAGAAATATCTAATGAGCTCATAAGGATGTAGTTTTATTAGCATATTTAGAAAATACTAAATTATATACATTCTAATCAAACGATAGTTAAACCTTCGTAAATAAACCTAGAATGGTCAAATATTAGGTTTTAAGAAAATAAACCGGTTTAGGATCAAGAATCATTAGATAAGTAGATACAAATGTAGAGGAATAAATAATAGAAACTTGTAAATCACTCATGCCAACAAGACCAGATACATAATAATCAAAATAAAAAAGTGGAACTTAAATTGTTTAAGAAAAACCAGAAACAAGAGAAAAAGTTGCATCTCGACTTAGAACTCCAAAATCAGAAGGTTTACTGAAATTTAAAAGTCAAGAAAATTAAAATGAAGACTTTTAACCAATCAATTAATAATTCAATTATGTAGATGAAATTCCTTTAGATCATCCAATTTGGAAATTAATTTTACCAGATATTTAAAGTGTTAATATACCAAAACTTATTAATGATAATCCAGATTATTTTCATCATTAATTAGGTAAATTTAATGAATTAAATTTAATTTTTAGGTTTTTGCGCTTGTTATAAATGTGAATGTGGTTAATGTAAATGTAATTTCTCTAAAATTTGTAAATTGAATTATACATCTTCTTAAAATACTGTTTATGGTAAAGATTTCTTACATAAATAAACTGGACATAATTCTCTTAGACCATTAAATTAAACCTATTATTCAACTTAATTTTGTAATTAAAAACCAATAGATCAATAAAGTTTACATTAAGTATGTTTAAAATATAGATTTAGACATCATATAAATAGTTTAAAGTTCCTGTATAAGAAATGCTAAGACCTTAATCTTAAGAACATCGAGGAGATTTCTTAGGCAATAGTAGTTATAAAGTACATAATTTTATTTAAAGTTTAGACTTAATTCAAATTTTGGGGACCACCTGAAACTGCTCATTTTAAAAGACCAGTTCATCAAAGTGTGACCGATTCAATACCCTTTACAGCTTAATCTTTATATTAGGATTCATTTGCAAATAAACCATATTAAAAACCAAGTGATTCATTAAAAATGGTTACTGAATTGTAATAATTTTATTATCTATTTATAATTAAGAACACCTTTACCTACAGGATAACCTTTTGTTTCTTAATCATAAACTTAATTAGCCTATTAACCATTCAGAATTTAAAAAAATCCTAAATTAAATAGTGATAAAATACTAGATTATGGAAGAAGTCCAAAATATGATACTTAATTTAAAAGTCTAGTGAATACTGAATACACTCCTAAAAGATAAAGATATTGTCCTGCAAAAGAATACATAGCTCATTATTAATAAAGAACATTATAAAAATTAAAATAATAATAGTGAAATTAAATTTATCAACCTTTACAGATTCTTATATTGTATTTATATATTATTCTGTAATAGTTTATAAATTGTCTTATTTTCAAATTTTATTGTTATTTATTTATAATATATATACAAATAACATTTTAATTTTTTCAATATATGAATTCTCTTATTATATATTCAATACGGTTTATAAATATTAATTAACTTTTTCTTAACAGATCTTAAATAATTTAATTTAAAAAATGTTTTTTATTAAGATCTTTTCCTATAATTTAATCTTTTATTAATTTTATTTCACAATCTGATTATAAATTAAAGTAATTACTTATTCAATGAAACTAATGAAGTTTGATAAATATGATAAGCCTATCCTTTAATCTCAACATGAAATCAAATTTGCAACTAATATTGTCAGAACTCCAAAGTCCAGTTAATCTTAAACATTAATTACATTGAAATCATCACCCAGTAATTCAAAAAAAAGTAGTTTTCATAGATAATCTACTCATTTAATTCATCATAAGAGTTAATTTTCTTAATCATACAAATCAACAAATCAAATACTTTCATAATAAAATACAATTTCAACTATTTAAGAATGCATTTCAATTATTTCTGACTTAAAATAAACTTCCTTTTTATTATTTCCTAATAAAAAATTAAGTTAATAAACATAAGAAAAAATGGATTAGATTGCTAGTATTATTGATTAAATGGTACCATAAGATAATCTAGAAGAAAAAAAAAGATTAAAAAATTAGAATTAAGAGAAAATATAATAAATGATGAAGCTCCTCATGTAAGAAAAACAATAAAAATATTAAGCAATTAAATCTGGTGAAAGTTTGATCAAACAATAAAAAGAATAAATTTCATCCTTAGTAAATATAAAATAAATATATTTTTTAGAAAACCAGAATATCTTTACATTTACCAAGTCTTGATGATATATGAATGTAAAATATTTCAAAAAATAGTTTCTCTTCTACTATCATAATATACTGTCTTATTAAGCAATTTATTAAATTTAGTCTTTTTCTGTTTTTAAACACCTATTTTGAATGGAGAATCTACAGATGTAGAAATTCTAGGAGTATTTAATTTAATTGTATTGCTTTGTATTGACTGAACTTACTGATCTTATATTGATTTCCCATATTCTAATATCCTTCTATCTAATAAAAGAATTAAGTTTGTTAGATCTTTTTCTTTACTATCAGATGGGATTTAAGAAGTTTCACAAAATTCTTAAATAACATCAATTATTCTCTTCAATTGATCAAAAGCTATTTTCGATTATTTCTCTAAAAATTAAACTTTATTTAATAATAGTGCAACTTTATTTGGTAAATCAGATTGAACTTAATTTTTTTCCCTTTTTATATTTGATAATATATTTACAATTGCTAAAGTAATGCAATATTTTTTAGCATAGACTTAATTAGTTACTTCTTTTTAACTAATTCAGCAGATATTAAATCAAACTATTCATTAACTAAATTTTAAAATTAACTTTGAGAGGTTTCAGATTTCTAAAATTATTCCTTTATCACTTATAATTAATCTTAAAAGCTTTATTGCCGATTTTTAAAATAATTCAATTCCTCTTCAACTTTTTTAAATGCAGTGTGTATTTCAAATTTAACAACTTTAGAATTATTAACTTCTAAATCTTAAAATAGTTAAGATAATGATTTTACTTTATTTTGCATAATTTCAATTTCTAAAATAGTTATTAATTATAATATTTTACCACTTTTATATTCTTATATTATATTTTTCATTTTTTCAACTTCTTTTTCAAATTCATAAATTCTATATTGTTCTTTTTCCACATTTTCAATTTTAGAAATCAATTATTCGTTTTATTATTTAATCATTGATCTATTATCACGATTAAGTTTATGTAAGGTTTAGGAATCTTATTTAATAAGAATATTTGCTTGTTAAATTTAAGAGATAGCTTGTTTGATATCAATCTAAAAATAAAAATAAAAAAAAAATACAATATGTTATTCTGTAAATAGTTTGAGTGCATATTTAGTTTAGAATTGTTGAATTTAATCTTAAAGTTTATTAATTCTTTCTTCAGAATTATTTTTGAATGAACGAATATCATTTTTAGTTAAAAAGATGTCTGAAACATAGGATTTGAAATCATTGAGTTTTTCACTTTAATTAAAGATAAGTTAGTCTATTTATTTTTTAACTTCTTTAGTTTCATTTTAAACATTGGTTTCAATTAATTCTAATGATAAAGATTTAAATGACCTATAAGATTATTCTCTTGTAAAAATTTATCACGTGAAAATTTGAGTTCAATTTCTTCTAGATCTTTATAATTTGGAAAGAATTGATTATTACTATTAACAGTGATATAAATGCAACTGCTAATATATTCTTTATCGAGACATTTTTCTAGAATTTCTCTTTGATGATCTGAATTGTAATTATGAATTTTGAAAATTTGTTAGAAAGCATCTAAGATTTCATTAAATTTCAAGAGTGTTGTAATAATAATTTCCTACATATATTTATGTTATTTAAATTAATATTAAATGATCATAAGAAATAGTCTGCAATAGCTTTTTTTGAATTTGTAGCTCTATCATTAGGAGCAGCTTCAAATAGCTTATAATATTTCTTTAGATTTTCATCTAATTCAAGAATAGAAGCAACATTACCACATCTAGAATAAATAAAAGATAAATAATTAACCTATAACAATAATTAGGAGCAGACCAAACAGTAACTAAAGAATTATCAAACATTAATTTAAATCCTTCCATAGCTAATTAATGTGCTCTACAGATGAGTGAAATGCCATTTCTACGATTAAATTCTTTAACAACATCTGCTCCAAAAACAAAGCCTGCTCCTCTAGCACTTTAACTCCATCCTTCAATTTCTAGAAGATCAAATTTCTTATTAATTACCATCAGGATCTGACCACATTAAATCACACATCACACCTTCATGTGGTACTTCTTATTTTCTATTTATGACTCTAATTTCATCAATTGTTTTTATATATGGACTTAAACCACCATGTACACAGAATATATTATCATTGACAACTGCTGCCAATGCTAAATAATCAAAAACTTCAGTGCAATATTTCCATACATTCAAAGTACTATATTTCCTTAGACATTCATCATAAAATCCATAAACTTATGTTATTTGTCTTGATTCATGATTTCCACGTATTCTATTATATATATTCTATTTATACAATGTTATCTAATCTGGATATCTCACTTTTAATGCCAATAATAATAAAAATGTCTCTACACTATTATATCCTCTATCTACAAAATCTCCTAAAAATAAATAATTTGTCTCTGGAACATCTCCACCTACTTTAAATAATTCCATTAAGTCATAAAATTATCCATGAATATCTCCACATATCTAAATATACTTTTTATTTACAGTCACTGGAGCTTCTACTCTTATTACATTATCCTCATTATTTAATATATCTTTTGCTTTGTTGCATAATATTTTAACATCTGTTTCCTTTAGATTCTCACCATTTTTTAATGTTTCAATCCACTAATCTATATCTGACATTATATGCAAAGAATTTTTATTTTTTGATTAATTATATTTATATTTAATTTACATCATAATAACTATTGTAACTTTATTACTTATAATCTCTATCTTAAATAATTTACACCCTTTGAGCTACTTTTTGTTATCTTTGGTTATAATTACAATTCTTATTCTGATGTTTCTGTTCTTTATGTTATAGATTCACTTTTCTTTTAATTAACTTCAAATTATTACTAAGTTTTATCATCATTCAAATGTACTTTATACATTGATTAAGATTTATTAGAAGACGATCTATTTGTTATAGATTTCAACACAGACCCTCCTCTACTTTATCTTTAAGTAGAAAGCTCTTATGATTGATTATTATTATTATTGAGTAACTATTTTATATTTACATTCGATGTTATATTACTTCTTGAAGATTTCATTACAGTAAAAAGAGGTTATACGTATAACTTAGAATTAGAAACATTTGATGTAATACTTATATTATGTTCTCTATTTGATATTAGACCATTTAGATTAAGTTATAAATTTGTCTAATTTATATTTACATTTTATTAAGTTTAACTCACTTCGAAATTACTTTAACATCGATTATGTTTAGTAATTGGGTTGAATATTAATCTAAATTCTTTAACTCTCTTCCAAAATCTACACTATACATCTTCCTACCTTACAAATTAATCTTTAATAAATTTTATCTCTAAACACCATAAGAATATAGGCTTATCTAATAGGCACATAATAATATTTATTTCATTTAATTATCCTCTAACTTAATAGATCATTTAAATTCTTTGAACCAATTATTAACTTAACATATTTATTTATGATCTATAATGTGGAGTTAATTTTAAACATTATTTATTTACTTAATATGTAAATTAATCACATTCTTAAATAAATGTATAATTTTTATTCCATTATAATGAGATATACTATCCTTATTAAAAAATTTCCTACAAAATTACAGGGTTTTCAATAATGTTAGGATAAGTTTCAAAATGAACTAATAATTATTATATTTATTCAATTGATATTGGCTCATTTTTTAATTAAATTTAACCAAAACCTTCAACAATATAAGGTGATTTAATTGTTATTATGCTCATTTAAATGTTATTTTATTTAAGATAGCTAATAATTGAAGCAGGAGTACAATTTATGGATTTTCTTTTAAGGATTTTATTATTTTATGAAAAGTACCATTGAATTTTAAATCCAAAATTTATGATAATAGTTTAAGGAATATGAATAGAAAATTGAAAAGGATTAGCTTATTAAGCATTCCATAGCTCATTTATTAACGTATACATTTATTTATATAATGATAATAATAATAAAAAAATATAATTGATGAAGCAATCAATTCTATCCACCAGATAATTGTTAATCTTCTTTAATATTAGAATCTTAGAATTATTATTATGATTCAATTTTAGAATCCTATAATTACTATTAGAACTCAATTTTTAAATTAGATTCTTGAGATTATTATTAATGATTATTTTCATTTTCAGAAATTTATTACTATTATTATTATTATTAGATATCCTTTGATTATTCTTTCATTTTTCTGCGAACAATATTATTCTAAAATATTTTAATAATTAATACATTAATTAAGTATTTTGAATAAGGATTGAATTTTTAATGATGGGATCTACATTAAGAAGGTGATCTACTTTTAATGATATCAGACATTAATTTGAAGATTTTGTTTGTTTTTTTTAATTCAGAACTTTCCATGACTTCTCTATGTTATTCTAAAAAATTCAAATAAACTTAATGTTCTTAAGCACTCCAATGTCCTATTGATAATAATAATTAGAAATACCTGTATTAAATTATGGATTGTGTGATTTTTTAATATGTTTTCTTTTAATTTTATTATCACCTAAATCCTTAGTTTAACTTTAGTTAGCATTTTCTACACCCTAGATTAGAAAATTTAAATTACTTGAAATTGATTAAGTAGAGCTGCATTAATCATTAGTTATTATTACAAAAGTTGTTGAGTAAATAAATCAACTACTCTAGGTTCATCAGTAATAAGTGGTAGATTATTCATTTAAGAATAAAATTGTGCTTATAGCTTCAATTATTCTAATTAAACAGTTTAAAGTAGAAGATCAGGATTCTAGAACATCTATGTAAATTGTGGTAATAAAAATTGTGAATCAATCTCTTGTTTGTTGCTTTCTAATAATATTATATTATTTATTACAAATACAAGGAGAATTTTCTTCAATTAGAGGAACAATACAATCTTTGGATGATGGGTTTAAACGATCCATTTTATATTTTTTAAATTTTAATTAAGATTTATATATCTGATTCAGATATAAGAAATGAATTTAATTATTTTTTTATATAATTTTTTTTATATTATTCAAATTTTCTAACAAACCATAACAGACACATCACACCAACTTCCCAAAAATAGATTATTCCCACTTACTATTCCTCCTGCAAGTCCTTTTGATAAATATCTATTTTAGGATAAAATTCTTAATTGATCTTTATTCAAATCATACTAACCTACAGCTCCCCAATACTCAAAATTGGTTTATCTATCTAAGTCATTAGTCTTAACAAAACTATCTAATTAGAAATAATTATATAATTTTGGAATCAATCCTAAAACCAATGTATTACTTTCCTCTTAATATTCAATATTATCTATTCCATTTTACACAGGAACAAATCTTTTAAAGACTAAATTCTCTCCTTAAATCTAATATTCAGTAAATCCTTTTTCAATTGAATCAGCTACCCAAACTAAATCTTTTTTATTCCAAGTTAAACCATTTCTCATTATTCCTGAAGTATTTGCTAATTACTTACATTAGGGTTAAATTAAACTTTATTTCTATTTATTAAATTAACAATCTAAAATATATGTAGTCTTTTATTTGGTCAACTAATAAAATAATGTTTTTATTATATGTAATGCATTAGCTTTATGTCTACCTTCTTTTGGATCAGGTAATGGCATATAAGTTGTAATTAAAAGTCTATTATCTTCTATTACAACCAAATCATTTAATATTCCTGTATATTATTCATCCATAATAAGTGAATGTTCATATGTTAATTCCAATTATTCATTTATCCTAAATATTTCTATTCTTTCTCCACCATTATGATATGCATGATTTATTACAAATAAGAAATCTCCATCTTTCTATCTTCTTATATATATTCCATGAATATACAAAGCGACATCTTTAGGAAAGTTTTTTAATTCAAGCTTCATTAAACTATAATTTTTTTTATTAGAATTCAAAATTGCATAAATACCCTACTATTCTAATTCTGGTTTCCCTCTAGCATATACTTTTTAGAAATTTCCAGATCCTATTATTATTGTTGTGGAATTAAATTAAGTCATATCTTCAGGTCCTCTTATGTCCTCTTTTAAATATTTACAATTTCCATATTCATTATAACTCATCACTGGCTTAAAAACGTCTAGCTCTGTTGCTAGTTTGAAGAAAATTCCTAAAAATACACCACCAAAAATAAATATATATTTCATATAAAATAAATAATTAATTTTCTAAGATTCAAGGTTAACTTTAGAACTAATCATACATTAATTTTATTAAAACATATTTGAATAATCTTAGCAACTAATTCACTACAATTCATTTTAAGTTTTCCAAATTTTATTATTCTTTTTATTACAATTATATATTTCAAAAAATTTACGATTGAAGTAACTATCATCAATAAAAATTTTAATTAATATAATTATATCTCATATTCTATACTAGCTCTAAACAATAATTTATTCTTTATTAAGAATTTCAATTAGTTAATTGAAATATTTTTTATTTTACAAACTTAAATTTACAAATTATAAGTTTGTAAAATAAATTTTCCTTTCTATTATCATCATAAAACTACAACAATTTTTATAATCAGCTATTGATTTGTTATATAGAAGGTAGAATATAATTAGCCAAGATCAAGCAATTGGATATATTAAATACTAATTGTAGGTTCATAAGCCAATTTATTAGCTAAATATAAGTATTTATGTATTTATTTCTTGATATTTCTAAAAATAGATAATGAATTTAAGGTTATATTCATATTTTTGAGGAGTTAATTACAGCTTTACTAAAGAATTGAGATTTTGACTAATATTATGATTTTTGATATAAGTTATAGCATAAATTAGTATATAAATAAAAAATCTATAAACATAAAAAATGAATAAAGTATTTTAGATGAATATTTAGAATATATTGCATTTATTTAATAATATTAAAATATTGATTTATATTGAATTGATGTATAATTATTTAACTCATTATTTTAATGTTTCAGATGCATTACCAACTTTGACAACACATCTATATTTTGGTCTTCCATTAAGTAATGTATCATAAGCATTTTTAAAATTTTCAAATTAAAATTCTTCACATGTTGGATAAATTTTATGTTTATTTGCAAAAGCAATCATTTCATAATTTTCCTAAAAATGATAAAAATAATGAATTACTTATCTCGATCCAACCAAAGATCCAATAAATGAAATTTATCTGCATACTAATTAAAAGAATGGTAATTGTAATTCAACTTTATTAACAGCAGGAATTCCAACCATAATAAAATCTCCTCCATTTTTTAATAGATTAGTTTAAGCTATAAATTCATCAACAGTACTAGCATGTGCACAATTTAAAATGATATCAAATCTACCTGATGCTTTAGCCATTTATTATGGATCTTTTGAAACAATAAAATCAATGGCTCCATAAGATTTAGCTTCTTATTCTTTATCTGCTGAAGTAGATATTGCAGAAGTTTTCATACCTAATGCAGCTGAAAATTTAATTGCTAAATGTCCTAAACCTCCAATACCAATAATAGCAACTTCTTTTTTAGGATTAAAATATCGTTTTAAAGGAGCGAATACAGTAATACCTGCACATAAAAGAGGAGGTGTTAAATTTTAAGGTAAAGTATTTGGAATCGGAAAAGCCCATTTTGCAGGAAATTATACATGAGTAGCAAATCCACCGAATTTTGGTAAAGGAATAAAATGTTCATCTCCCATTTATCCACATAATTAATCATTTCCTTATATACAATATTTACACTTTCCACAACTATCTCTTATAAATCCTGCACCTACTAAATCACCTATTTAAAATTATGTAACTTTATCTCCTTTCATAACTATATGACCTAATATTTCATGTCCTGGAACACTTGGATAATTTATTGGAAACCAATCTTAATTAACAAGATGGCCTTTTTTAATTTATATTTTGTTTACAATCTGTGTAACATAAACCAAAATATGTTTATTGAATTCTCACTTCATGAGCTTAAATTGCTGGAAATTTAAATGGATATAGAACAGCTTCTGTGTTTGGTCCTTCAAATGACCATGCAAATCCTTCTGCTTCTTCTTTTGGGACTAATTTATATACTGAATGTTCTTTTGTCGCCATCTTTTATTATTATATTCAATCATAAATCCATTTAACAATTCATCTTAAATAAATTATATTTTCATGAATCACCATATAAATATCCAATTATTATATTCATTACATTATTAACATTGTTTTATTTATATATTAACTACTTTTATTCAATCTAAAATTCTATAATTTACAATGTAACAAATTATTTAACTAAACTATTCTTAATTAAGTATTAATTCTATTACTTATAATTTTATATTATAATTAAAATAATAATATTTCTTTTTCATTATTAATATTATTTTATTAAATGAAGATAGGGTAATTAGTTCCAATTTCAGAATAAATTAAATCTAAATATAAAGACTTGTAGCAATATTCTCTCATGTAATATTTAGGGTCATATTTCGAGCTTACTCTTTTAATGTCTATACTTGATTTTCTATTAACTTATCATATTGAAGATTAACTTTAAAGATTAGTTAAACCAAATGGAATATATTCAAAATCATCATAAATAATTATTGACAAAATTTAACATTGCATTATAAAAGAAAGAAAATTATCATTATTTTATGAATAAATTTAAATTGAAGATATTTAATATCAAAAAGTCAAAGAATTTCTTCAATAATATTGCTATGCTTAATAACAATAATTCAATTTTTTATTTAAAGAATAACTAACAACTTTAGCTTAGATTTTTTAACTTTCTTTTTATATTTTTGGTGAATTAGAATTAAAAATTCCAAATAAAAAATAATAGTGTATTTTTCTTTATTAAGATAAAAATCAATATTATTACATTTAATAGTATGATGAGAATCGAAATTAAAAAAATCAACAAAATAATTGCTCTTCATACAAAAATATGGATTAAATTTATTTAAGTAATAAAACCCAATTAGAATCAGAAAATGATTGTTAAGTGAGTAAAAGCAAATTGAATGAAAATTAATTCCTAAAATAAGATAATATTTATATTAATGATAAAGAAATATAATAATCCTAATAAATAGTCTAAAAGTCAACAGAGGTAATTTAAATGGAAAATCAAAAATATTAAGAGTATTCAGAATAAAAATTGTTAATTTGTTTGAAATGCAAAGATAAATCATAAATTCAAATTTTTATTAATAAATCGTGCAATCATCATTTTTGTTTTCAATGCTTGAGTTAATTTATAACTGATTAGGATGTTAACTATTCATGTTTAGAAAAAAACTGTGAATAAATAATAGATTCTCATTCTTTTTAATAATTTTCTTAAAATTTATTAAATAATAATGGAAATTAAATAACAAAAATAATAGTTAAAGCTGAATTTAAAAATTGCAGTGGATGTTCAAAAAAGGTATTGAGAAATTTATAATTTACAAATTTGTGTCTACATACTTTTTGTATAGACTGTTCCATTAAATTTGCAAAAAATACATAAATTAAAATTTATTGTCCATATTTTGGCTGTCTTCAAAAAATTGCCTATGAATAATTAATGGAATATTTAAAATCCGAAAAAATTCTATTTTAGTGCTCTAAATGTGAAAAACAATTAGAAAGAGAAAATTTATTTTTAAATAGACTCTGTTCTCATTTTTTGTGTTTTGATTGTTCATATGAGTTGGTGATAAAAAATAGCAACAGTTAATTGTATCAGCCTTGTCCTATCAATTATTGTAGTTAAATGTTAGATTCATATTAATTCAATTAATTTTTTGAGGAAAACTAAAATATAGCACTTTAAGAATAAGAAAAAAAAGAATAATTGTTCGAAGAAATATAAAATTAAGAATCTCAATCTGATATATAATTTGAAGGAAAAGTTGAAAAAATTACTTAAGCTGAGAATTTCAACTAATCCCCATAAATTTTAAATTCAAACAATAATTATAAATCTTAAATGTAAACAGATGAGGATGATGATGAATATAATAATAATGATTAGACTTATGTTGAATGCACTTTATGTTAAACTACTTTTTCTGACTACAATCTTCGTTAAAAATTAAACTGTAAATTGCATTAAATTGGTGTTTGTTGTTCTTTAGAAAATGAAAATTGTCCTCAGTGTGCTAAGAAGAATTATTATAAATCCAAATATTGCTTTCAATGTAAAATAATAGATTTATACTAGCCAAATTAAAATTATCCATCGTCAATTAAGAGTTTGATTTTTATAATTTTTAAACTACCAGTTATTGAGATTAATTAAAATCTACTTAAATTTAAATTTTATTAATAACTAAAAAGTTTTTCTGTTTAATATTCGTTAGCAAAATGTGAAATATTTGGAATTATATTATTGTTACACTTAACAGGCATAATAACAGAATAAATATTTTGTTATTTTAGTTCCTCATTCTAATCATTTGAGAGCAGAATTATTTTTTTTAACTAAATTTAGATTAAGATCTGGAAATTAATATATAAGATGTCTAAAGAATAAGTTATACAGATCAGAGAGTCAAGCTAATTTTTATTAATATAATTGTCTCCAAATTCATCTTTTTTTTTAAGAATTTGAATATATTTAAAAAAAAATTTTTTAATAACAGTTATTATTAAATATCATAATTCAATTTCATGAAATAAAAAGATAAATGAATGAATATTTATATGTTCTAATTTTTTCTTACTCATAAAATTTATTGGATATGCCATAAATTAAATAAATAAATGGTCCTTATTATATTTAATTATAGTTTATATATATGGGTTTTATTTTAAATGAACTCATATACATAAAAAATTTCAATTTTAAACATGATTAAAAGTTTTTTTTGAATTATTTTTAGGAGTCCCAGTTTCATATTCATTTGATTGTACTTCTTTAGTTTTCGGTAAATGTTACATTAAAAGATAGAAATCTTCATCCGATAAGTTCTATTCATCATCTTAAGGCTCTTCATTTTCAATTGCTTTTCCTAAAAATAAGCTTTATGATTAGTTTAACTGTTAAATTTATAAAGTGTTTTATTGATTTTCAATTGAGGCTTATGGATTCTAAAAAATTATAAATAAACCACTTACCATTTTGATTATATTAATTTCTTCAAGCGAATAATTATCTATATTTTCTTATTTTAACTCTTATGGTATAATATTTTCAATCTTCTAATTAGTTGGTTTATCTTGTTCAAATTATTCAAATTATTCAAATTTTAATTTTATTCCAATGTTATGAGAATTTCTTATAACTTATTTATCACAAAAAGTGTTTAATATGAATTATAACCTAGATACTTCATATAACTGATTGGTTAGACATAATTTAGATTGAGCTATTTCTAATAATTTGTTATATTTATCTAAAAATAATAATGATAATTTTTTTTATTTATACAAAATTTGATTTACTTTTCCTAGAAGGCTTTTTTTAAATGTAACGTCTTTGATTTAAGGATAATACATTTCAATTAGAGTTCTTAAGACTTTGAGTTCTAGATTTTTCTCATTTATCATATATGCTATGTGAGAAAAGAATAAAAAGAAAGAAATAATAGATCCAATATTTGCCAAAACTTCTGAGACTTTAGGGTATTCTACATGCAATGTTTATTATAATGTTCCTAATTCAAATTCAAAAGCTATAAAGACGTTATTTTAAAAAATATGAGTAAAATAATCTAAGTCCATTTATTATATGTAAGATTATATTGAACTAGGATATTCAAGGATTTCTAAGCTTTCCAACAAGAATCCAGTATCTACTGAGATATTTGTTGAACCAACAACAATTTAACTAAAATAAGTAGTTCTATTATCGAAGGATGCATAGTAGTCTTATTCAACAACATCAATTTTTTTTGTGGAGGTATTATATTAATTCATAAATGTATGCACTGATAATTAATTTTATTTTTGATTGAAAAATTATTTAATTCTTTCCTCTTTAGCACATTTCCAACCATCTGGTAATAGATCTTAAAAGCAAGACTAGAATATTAAAAGATATTCTTTATTTGGATGGTCTAATGATTCATGTTCATTATTAGAGAGTTCTATATTTTTTACTTCTATTAAATAAGTGCCATGCTTTTCTGATTTTTTATTAGGTAATAAAACTTAAGGTTCTTAAATTTCATCTTCTAATATTTCATATATCATTGGTAATAAAATTACATTATTAGGGTCAAATGGATCTATTTAATCTTTTATACTTGTATGTTTTCTCAAACAAAATGAAGCTACTTAATCAAATGAAAGTGAATATGTATCAATCTTTGTTTATAAACTTGTAATTTTTGGCAAAATTTTTCCAGAATTCCATAAAATCAATTCATAAATGAGATATGCTAAGCTTAATCCATAAAGCACAACAGATAGCAACCCTCCCAAACTTGTTTTGAATTATACTTCTCCATGAGCATAACTTGGTTTATAACTTGCTCCAAATTGATCTATTCTCCTCAAGAATTCAGCAATATTATTAAGCATTTAATAAATTACACTTTAATACCAAAATTCTGAGATTTGTTTGATGACATAATTTTAAGTTTAATTATAATTAATATAAGAATTTACGTCATCAATGATATATTGAATAATATAAATTTATAAATTTATAAATTTATAAGTTAAAATTAGTATAAATATAATCAAACACAAATAAATTATCGTATTCATTTATTATAATTAATACGATATTCAAAATCTGAAATAATCAATTAATCTTGATTTCTCAACAAAAAAAATATAAACTAAGTTCAGAATAAAAATGTATGTTATCTTATTTTAAGAAATTAATTCTACTAAATTAAAAATATTTAAAATGAAAAAGAGTATATTTCCAGCTAATTAAAATAAGTATTACGTTTTAGCAAACTACTTTTTCATAATAGGGAATGCCCAATATAAAATGCATAATCCATTAAATCCAAAGTAGTATAGGAGAGACATAGCAGAGATAGGTAATACAATCCATGTTAATTGTTATCTAAATAAATAACATACAATAACAACAGCAATTATTCCTTCCCACATAACAGCACCTATGTATATGGAAATAGATAGTTCAAAAGTGTCAGCAATAAAACAGTGTAATTAATACCAAATAAAAAGGGATACAGTGGATAAAATAATTTGTAAGGTTCCTTTTTTATAAATTTAAGAAAATAAGTGAGAAAATCCATAACAAAAATAAACAATTCCAACTACAAATCCAAATGGAATTGAATTAGCTAATATAACAAAACTAAACCATTTGAATGGTAAAGAGAATAAAAACAAGACAGAATTCAAAAATCCAATAGTTTATAAGAATGACATGATGATGTATATTAAAATACCCAATCTATTAGCATATGAAAAACTGNCTTAATCAAATGAAAGTGAATATGTATCAATCTTTGTTTATAAACTTGTAATTTTTGGCAAAATTTTTCCAGAATTCCATAAAATCAATTCATAAATGAGATATGCTAAGCTTAATCCATAAAGCACAACAGATAGCAACCCTCCCAAACTTGTTTTGAATTATACTTCTCCATGAGCATAACTTGGTTTATAACTTGCTCCAAATTGATCTATTCTCCTCAAGAATTCAGCAATATTATTAAGCATTTAATAAATTACACTTTAATACCAAAATTCTGAGATTTGTTTGATGACATAATTTTAAGTTTAATTATAATTAATATAAGAATTTACGTCATCAATGATATATTGAATAATATAAATTTATAAATTTATAAATTTATAAGTTAAAATTAGTATAAATATAATCAAACACAAATAAATTATCGTATTCATTTATTATAATTAATACGATATTCAAAATCTGAAATAATCAATTAATCTTGATTTCTCAACAAAAAAAATATAAACTAAGTTCAGAATAAAAATGTATGTTATCTTATTTTAAGAAATTAATTCTACTAAATTAAAAATATTTAAAATGAAAAAGAGTATATTTCCAGCTAATTAAAATAAGTATTACGTTTTAGCAAACTACTTTTTCATAATAGGGAATGCCCAATATAAAATGCATAATCCATTAAATCCAAAGTAGTATAGGAGAGACATAGCAGAGATAGGTAATACAATCCATGTTAATTGTTATCTAAATAAATAACATACAATAACAACAGCAATTATTCCTTCCCACATAACAGCACCTATGTATATGGAAATAGATAGTTCAAAAGTGTCAGCAATAAAACAGTGTAATTAATACCAAATAAAAAGGGATACAGTGGATAAAATAATTTGTAAGGTTCCTTTTTTATAAATTTAAGAAAATAAGTGAGAAAATCCATAACAAAAATAAACAATTCCAACTACAAATCCAAATGGAATTGAATTAGCTAATATAACAAAACTAAACCATTTGAATGGTAAAGAGAATAAAAACAAGACAGAATTCAAAAATCCAATAGTTTATAAGAATGACATGATGATGTATATTAAAATACCCAATCTATTAGCATATGAAAAACTGCACATTCTTAACATATGTACATTCCACTTAGATTTACAATACCAACAAAATTAATGTTGACAAGCTTTACATGTCATATGTTAACAACCTCCATTTCTTTAAATTTAAACTCCACATTGAGGACATTCATTTGTAAATAAAAAACAATATATGAAATCCTTGATATTAAAATACATATTTGAAAACCCATATTCTAATTAAACAACCTAAGATGATATAGAGAAATCCAACCATTTAGTTTAGCAAGAAATACAATGTAAAGGTTAGTCACATCTTAAATTTAAATCAATAAATCCAAAATTATTACATCTGCCATTAGGACATGGTTTAATATCTTAATTTTTTAAGTATTCTTTTAATAAGATTTCTGAAAGTTATAATTCGTAAAGTGGATATTTACAAATATTTTAGAGTTCTTATCTTGAATAGATATATGAACAATTTTAGTTAGGACATTTGAAGTTAGTAATGTATGTTTCATTGTTTTTTATTCCAAACCAATTTATTAAACAAGGAATGCAATTATAACAATTGCATGGAGTTATAAATGAATCATTTGAGAAACAAATTTGACAAATTTTCATATTTATATATTTCTGACAAATTAATAATATTTTTAGATCCAAAATTTATATAAATAGTCAAAGAATATCGTAATATTGAAGCACTTATGCTAATGAGTCTTTTTTAACAGGTTTTGAGATGTAATAATCAATTCCATTTTAATAACATTGTTCTTTTGTTTCATTATCTGTAAATGCAGTACATGCTATAATTGAAATTGAAAATTTCTTTTTGATTTATCTAGATGCTTCCCATCCATCTAAAAGAGGCATATTAATATCCATAAATATTAATTAATATTATTTATCACTACATCTACTACAATATGCTATTTTTATAATAAAATATACTTTTTTTTTAATTTGTAAAAATTAAATCTACACATTCTTTTCCATTAAAAACCTAATCTGAAGATAAATTGAATTATTCTAATAATATTGATAGTGCCATTATATTGATTTATTCATCATCTACAATTAGAATTAATGGGCAACGACAATCTGAATTCAATTAATTAATTTTTATCTAACTTTGTTATTATGATATTTATTATTATTATTATAATTATTATTATTATTATTAATCTGATGGTTTAATATATTTAATTCTATTTTGATATTCATCAATTGAACATTCTTTGTTGACTGAATCTTAAGAAACAGCATCAATTAATTTTTAGACAAGTTTTAATTTATTATGAGGTCTTCTTTCTCTTATTTAATTAATCTCATTTGGAGGTACTTTATTATTCAATAAATGTGAAAATTTAGATCTCATTTGAGTCATTCTTAAATGTTCAACTCCAGCATTTACTTAGCTTTGTCTAGTGTCAATTATAACTTTTTTATTTAATTATACTAAAGGACTTCTAGGATTATTTGGTTTTATTGAAGGACTTATAATTTAATGGTAAACAGAAAACCAACAATGAAATCCTTTACCTGTTGAAGTTTCAAATCTCAATCCTCCACCTTTTTCATATCTCTATTATGATAAGGCTTCTGCTATCTTATTACTAATAAATAAACCTAAACCAAAACCAGCAGTATTTTTTGAAATCTTTGATATTGATGGTACTCCTTACTATAATAATTATACTAAACGTTATTATTCCTCTTTTGTCATTCCTATACCTGTGTCTTCAACATGAAAAATAATTTCTTAATGTTTTTAATTTAATATTTATTTTTCAACTCTCAATTTTATATTACCATGTAATGTAAATTTTTATGCATTTGACACTAAATTTATTAAAATTTATTTAATTCTATTTTTATCTGATATTATTTCTTAAATCTATATATTATTTTCAAATTCAATTTCTAAATTCTTTTTTTTAATTTAATCCTTAAATAATGAAACCACTTCTAATATAAGTTCTCTAATATTGAAATTAGAAACTTCCAAACTAAATGTTTTACCTAAAATACTGTTATAATCCATCATATCTAATACCATACTATGCATAACCTTTCCATTGGCTAATATTGGTTTAAAAAATTATTCTTAAATATATTTTGGTACTTATTTATGACATTCGGCAACTTATGCTAAAGCAAGTATATAATTTAATGAAGTATTATATTCATGACTAAAACTTTTAAATAATTATTATATAGTTGTTTATGTAAACACTTTCTTAATCTACAATTTATACTCTTCGACATTTTATATAATTATGGTGAAAGATTTTGAATCAAGAATAAAAATCTTCAAATAAAATTCATTAAACCCTTTAATACAAAAAACTTCAAATTCATAAGGATATTTTTGAATTTATTTTAATTATTCTAACACTTCTTTTAATGTATAACTTTATTAAAATTCCTTTATATCTTAAGCCGATGGAAACTTACAACTAAATTAATCCTATAACACTGATTTAGTAGATTTATCTATTGAAATCAAAGGACTTTCTAAAATATTTTGAATTGTTGTGTTTTTCAATAAATTATGAGCTCTTGAATTAGACATAATAAGATTATAGGTCCAATCTAATTTTATAATTCCTACTAAATTGTTTTGCATTTCTTATAATCGATCAGAATCAGAATTTGTTCTTATGTGTATTGTATCCTCGAAATCAGTATCATTTCGTTTTAATTATCTGTCTTGTTCTTTTGGATTAACTAATGAGAATAGGATTAAAATAAATATTATAACAATTGGCTAACCATTATTTAAATTTAAAAGGACTTTCCAAACACATAGAGAAACCAAGTGTAAAACTTTGCAGATGAGAAAATAATATCTCTTTGTTTCATTTTTATTTAAGGTATCATAAATCTAAGGAGGTAGTAGAAAAAGGAAAAGTCTTTCTGAATTAATTGCAGAAAGTATAACTATGATATGAAAAATACATACTTACAACATTCAATATCAAGAGTAATATTGGAACCAAAATACACAATGATTCTCTAGTTTTTTATAAATATTGAACTGAAAGGAAACAAAGTATTATTGCAAATTCAATACCATGGTAAAACAGCTATCTCTATCATATTAATAATGTACTCAATCCCAAAAACCATTTCATAGATTGTATTACAAAGCCAAATGCTACTATATAAAAAAGCTAATATCATTTAAAATAAAAATAATGTTAAATTAAAAAAATTAGAACAACAAAGATAATTAATACAAGTGCTATCAGTATTCAATATTTAAAATAGTTTTTATCATTTTTTTTTAATGAGACTAGATAATCAATTTCTTCATGATATTTTTCTATATTTTTTTCTTCAAAAATCATATTACACATTCAATATATTCTTAATTTAATTATTATACATTCAAATTAATGCATGCCTCAATCTCTTTCTTATCCTTATTACTTGAATTTTAGAATTATTCATTCTCTATCTCAAGAAATAGATATTTTTAAAATAATAAAAATCCTATTTCTTATAATGAGTAATTAATATTTGATCATTATTTGGGAGACTATTTATTTTTGAATTTCATAAAAATTACAATATTTTCATTGTTGTATAGTTTTCTTACTTAAATTAAGATTCCTGTTTAGAAAATTTATTTTGTGATAATCCTCAAATTTAAGTTTATTTTAGTTATTTAACTGAAATTTAAAAATTCTATTTTAAGTAATTTCAAGAGTAGTAATTATCTAATGAATTTCATAATACGTCAACTTCAAATCTGATTTTCTAATAATTACTCTTATCTTACATGCTTAAATGGTATTTTACTTAATTGATTGAATTTAATAAGATTTTCAATCTATTTCTAGATTTAAAGTATTTTGTTTTCTATAATTTCCTTAGAGTTTTTTAAATTTAAATCAAGGTCCTCAAAATCAATATTCATGTATCTTTCAAGATAATTAATGATATTATTTTGAAAATAAAAATATATAGATATTTTAAATCATTTAGCGGATTCTATGTAGGGACTGTTGAGTTCGCTTGTTTAACTTAAAGATATTTGTTGCCTATTAAAAATTTGGATTAAAGAAGTTTTATTACTGTTGACGTTAAGGTCGCTTTAATATACAGTAAGGTCAGGTGGAATGCAAAATTGATTATAAGACTCTCTTGATGTATTAGAAATAATGCTTTGTGGTTCACGTTGAGCAATTTCTGAGTTTGAATAGCAATAATATGAATCTGAGCTTTATTCACTGAATTCCTAAGGTTTTTTAAGTGCTTTATCTTATGCCTTTTCTGAGAATCTTTTAAATGCCTTGAAACACATCATTACATATAATAATTAAACACATGGATTAACTCCATTAATATAGATTCTATTTTTTCTAATTCTTTATAAAGTTTATTCTTCATGTTATTTTACTTTAGATTTAGCTTCTTTATTAGTTTTTTGCATAAATTATTATTAGAACATTTTCATAATGGTAAAGAATACATAATGATATTCTAGTTCTCCTTCATCTGTGGCTGTCATTTCCATAGTCATAATCATAGTTGCTACTTTCTTTTTAGAATCTGCTGTTACAATATTAATAATTCTATCAATATTCTCTTGAGTTTATTTAACATCCTAATTAAATTTCTTCCAGTCATCCAAAGCTGATATAATTTTTTCATTTAAATCATAACCTAGAGGAGATTTAATTGTTAAAACAAGATTAATCAATTATTTTACTTTGATATATTTTCCTCCATAATGCTTAGATAAAGGAGCCCAACCATCTATAAAATCTTATTCAAATTCTTTGAATCTTTATAAAGGATTATCTGAATTGATATAAAACTTTTCGTATTATTAAATTACAATCAATACAAATAAATTTAACATGATTCTTTAAATTGCTATTGAAAATATTATAAAGAATAGACTATGCACTGCTCCATGAGATTCCATTATATCATAAATTATTAAATATTGACCTTCACCAGTAGTACATCTAAATAATGTTAATAGTGCATGGTGAAAATTCTTAAAATTATAAGTTTCATTAATAATATTTCCTTCTTTAATATCAGAATATAAAAATGCTGCTAGGATTGCAAATATACAATACATTAATAACATAAGTAAGATTAATTCAAATAATTCGGGTAATGCAAAAGTAGCAGTATCAATTAGTTTTTTTAAACCTTTCAACTATTTTACCAATCTAAATAATTTTGTTACTCTTAATACTCTAAACACTCTAAATAATTAAGGACCAGATTACAAAAAAGAATTTTAGTTACTAGCATCATTGAGTTTCAGAATGGTATCAAAACCTGATGTCAAAACAACGAAAAAATCAAATTAATTCCAACTATTCCTAAAGTATCCTCTTGGACCATATGCAATTATTTTTAGAATACATTCTCCAATGAAAATAAAGTTGAAACATAGATTCAAATTCTCTAGTATCTAATTGTAATTACTTGAAGATTCTAAAAATTAAATTTATGCTTACCATCATAATTCAAGGATAACACAATTATGTTGAAAATTATAAGAAATATTATTATTCCATCAAAACATTTGTTCGATATAATTTTGAAAATAGCTGCTCTACATTTATTTAATGGAGGATAATATAATGCAAAATTAGGGTTTGAAGATATTATCATTTTCTATATATTTATCCAATCTTCTTAATCAGCTGAAATCACCTTATCTTTTAAAGAAAGTTCTGCAAATTTATAGTTAACAAAAATGACACCTGTAAACAAATCCATCAATAATATAGATCCTGTATAAATAAATATAAGAAAATATAATATTATCCATAAATTAGAATTTTTCTTAGGACCATCTTCACTTGCATCAATATACCAATATATCTGTTTATCCCAATCATCTCTTCTACTGAGAATGAATAATGTCAATATTGCATTAAAAATATTATCAAAATTCATATTTCGATAACTCCATTCTCCTCCAAGCTATTCGCATTTTTATTAATCATAATAATTAAATTCATTTTTTGTGAAAATTTCACAATAGTGCATTTTATCTTATAGCAAACTTACACCTAAAATTCCAAACATAATAAACACTAAAAGGATTATAAGAGTCACATTTATTACACCTGAAAGTGAGTTTAATAGAGTAGTTACTAATAATTTAAGCTATTTATTTTCCTTTACTAGTCTTAATGGCCTTAATGTTCTCAATAATCTTAGTACTTTTATATAGCTCAAATTTTTATCTGTATAAGGTATATCAATAATTGAAAATACTATAATTATAAAATCTAAAACATTCCATGTGTTTCTCATGTATGTATTTGGTTCTGTTATAAAACCTTATGCAATTATTTTGAGGATAAATTCAAACAAAAATACACAAGTAATAAAAATATCTAATCCAAACATAAAGTCATTATAATATGTATCCAATATCAATTTTATAGTACTAAAGCTTATAACAAATAAGATTATTATAGAAAATATTTTATGATTTATAATTCTTGAACAAATTATTCTTACAACATTCTGTTCATCAAATAAAAATAATGAAATTTTACATTATCTGAAATCAAAGTTATATGTAAAAGCATTTTTCATAGTTGACATTCTCATATCATTTGAACTTGAATTACTGAAGAATGTTTTATCCTTTTAAAAAATAGGATTTTCTGGACTATCTTCATTTACTTTGTCAACAAATGTTACAGTAATTTAAGGTTTTGGATATTGAATAGATACTGATTAATATTCATCTTCAAAATAGTTCAATAAACTAGCCATCAATAAATTTAATAAAACATAATTTCCAATGAAAATCCAGATTAGTAAATAAATAATAACTAATGAATTATTCACCTCTGAAAAAAGCAATTCATAGAGAACATCAATCCATTAGAGAATTAAAATTTAAGTAACAACTAATAAACTATCTAAAAAAGTGTCAAAACTAGTTCTGTATTATGTATTTGTTAGAGTTTCTGAAAAAAATGACATGCCCAACAATGTAAATATATAGATAAATAGAAATAATAAAAATGTTATATACAGTAGTGAATAGAAAGCATTACTCAATATTTAGATTAAAAAACTTGTGTACGCTAAACTTCTAATTAAAATAATTATAATAATTACCTCACTAATTTGGTTACTCTTAGTATTCTAAATGCTCTAAAAAGTCTTAGAGATCTAAAGGCTTATAAATGAGAACCACTTCCTGAAGATAAAAAAAATAAATCAATTAAACTAATTAGAACTATAGACATATCAAAGATATTCATAATATCTTTACTGTAATTAGAAATACCATAAGTAAAAATCTTTAATAATTATTCTAAAGTGAATAAAATTGTGAAAAACAAATTTAAATTCTCCAATTCTGTTTTATTGCTAATTAAACCATCTAAGCCTAATACTATAGTATTGGCTAAGACAAAAAGATTAATAAAGTATTCAAAAGTATTTGTATTTAGAATAATATTTAATTTAAATCTAGCAAGTTGACATATGCCAAAAATGCCTTTCATGTAAATGAAAAAATTAGCTTAAGTATAATTTAAGGCTATAATAATCTTATCGTATTTATTCATCATAAAAGGATCGAAATCAACAGCTTTGACTTCTAAAATTGAAGCCTCAGTTATTAATTCTCCATTCAAATTTTCAATATCCTATATTTTTTGTGAGTGAAATTATTAATAAAATTTATGATGATGAAAGTATTCTTCCTTTGGTATTTTAATTTCAGGATTTTTTATTTCAACTTCATCTATTCTATTATATAATTACTAGTCAGTTAAATCTTAACTAAAAAGCTCTTTATATTATTTATATGTGTATTTTTAAATTGGATTGTAAGGTTTATAATAAGATTTTCCAATAATTTTTTGACGATTGCTTCCATTAAAGGACGAAGGAGATCTAGCAATATAATCTCCTTATCTAGCAAATTTTGATTATTATTTAACGACATCAGGAAATATTTTAAAATTTATATTCGAGGATTCTTTTGAAGAATCGTAAGTTTGTTTGCGATCTTTTTTTTCAAATGTCTTTTCATTAAATTGAATTTACAATTAGTAGCGCATTAAAATTTTCATGTTTCTTCGTTTTTCTTCTCTCTTTTAAAGTTCATTTAATTATGTTTGTTTTTCTAAAGATGGTAATATATTGTTAATTGATTCACAAATATATTCCTTATAAAGAACCCTTGGATATAATTTTGTTTCAAAAAGTCTAATCTTTAATTTTTCATCTTCTAAATTAGTTTCTTAAATTTAAGGTTTAAATTATTCAGCTTTCTTCAACTTTTTTGATGTGTTTTACAATTATTTAGGAGGTTCTTTTTCAGGTTTATTTTCTTTATCTTCTTAATATAGAATATCTAACTCTTAAAATCTTTCCTTCACTTTTTCTTCTGTGATTGATTCGATTTCTGTTAAAGAAACACTCAAAGAATTTTCCTATTATTTGACTTCTTACCCCATTTTACTTTTTCTTAGAGCTTATTTAACTGTTGTTATTAAGGTTGGAGCTTTCTAAAAAGAAGAGGCAATCAATTTGACTTCTTTAATCAATTTTTATTAAGCTAAAGTTTATCTAGGGTTTCTTTCTTTTTCTCCTTAAAGCATTTATTCTAATTCTTATAGAGGATTGCTCTCTAAAATACTTGTTCCTCTTTTTAATATATTTTTTTAAGTTGCTCTTCTATACAGATGAGCTTAATTATTAGAATCATTATTTTTTAATTTTTAATCATTATTTTTCAATTTTTAATCATCATTTTTTACTCCATAAATTCCATGTAATGTTATATTAGTATTTGGATGTTTTAATTTTCTTGGTTTACTATATTCTTTAATTAATAATGGTTTAAAGGGTAATTTGATTTAAGAAGATTGATTTACAGAATTTTCAATAAATGTAGGTTATTTAGGTTAAATTGATCTTACAATTCTTGATCTTCTCATACTTTATTATCTCTGAAAATTTTATTTTTTTCTATTTTCAATTATTGGTTTGTAAATATTCAATCTTTTTAATTATCTGTAATTATAAGACACTTCCTCAATTTGGTTATCCTCAATTTAATTAGATTTTTTAAAATTTACTTTCAAAATAGCCAGCGTCAAATTAATTAAGAAATAAGCACTAATGATAATAATAATAATAAAATATAGAACTGCTACTTCTGAAAAAGTGTATATAATTGATGCCATAATATCCACCCAACCCTCTAGATTACTTATAATAAAAACTTGCAGTAAAGCTAGACCAAAATGATCAAAACTTAAATACCCTTTTCTTGGGTTTTCTAACATTTTACCACATATTTAATTATCAAGACATTTATGGCAATATTGCTATTCTATTTAGAATGATTAGATTCCATATTCATCAAAACATCTATATTTAGTGTATCCTTAAAATAATTATAATCCAATTATTGCAAAAATAACATATGTAAAACCCAATACTAATAATGCATTTGCCATTTCATTAATAGATAAGAAAAATGTGGTCATAATTTGCTTAAGTGATTATATTGATGAAATTGCTTTTAAAGGTCTTAAGACTCTGAGTGACCTCAAAGCACTTAATTAAACTGAATTGCTCATAAAATATTATAAAGATCCTGCAACTATAACCAAAGCATCTATGACATTCCAAATATCTCTCAAATATGCACCTTAATTCAAAATTAAACCTTTTCCAATTATTTTTATCATTGCTTCTATATAAAATAGTATTAAAAAGATTAGTTCTATTTTCTCTTAATCATCATACTAAATTGAGAGCAAAACTGAATTTATTATTATTACTACTAGAGTTAATACCTCAAATATTTAGTGTTTTTAAATTTTCAAAGCCATGTATGAAATCGTTCTTATTAAAATTAGTATTTATTTTCTTATCTGCAACATGGGATATCTTAGCTACTTTAATAGTTGATTGTATACTTATCTCTATAAATATAAGCCTTCTATAAAGAATTCATATGAATTAAATCAATGTTAATCTAATCTGGTACAACTGCTGCTTTATATTCCTATTCATATTCTTCATCTAATTCATCTTAACAATCATTTAGTAAATGTTGAACTCCATTCGTTAAAAAATCTGAATTGTTAAATTCTTCATTTTCCTTCCATAATTCAATCATTTGATTCAAAACTACTTTGTTCTATTTTTTTCTATCTGAATAAGAACCCTTAATTAGCATCACTAAATACATCATCACTCAAAAAGCCATCCTTATCAGCCATTAAATGATAAGTTATATAATTTATAAATTCATTATCTTAAAAATTCTTCTAATTGTATTTTATTTATCAATCAAATCAGAATAAATAACATCATCTTATTTAAAGTGAATATGATTTTCCCTAATCATCAAGCCTTTTATCAAAAGTTGTTTTTAAAAAGTAATCAAAAGTTTTTTATTGTAAATATTTATAAAAAAAGAGAATTTCTTTTTAATATCAAATTTTTTGTCAAGAATGAAAATTAATATCATTTTAGTTATGTGCAAATATATCTATAAATAATTAAGTAATAAGAATAGAATTTTTTCAAAATAAATTTCTTCTTAAGTTTTCTTATATGCCAAAAATATTGTCAACTGCTTCTAGTGGCTGATAAAATATAAAATTATAATCACCATTTATATATTTGGATATTACAGAATTTTTAATATATAATTTCAAATAATCAACTGTGTTGTAATGAGAATTTAAACAGAAACTGAAGACTTTTTGTTACTGTAATCAATTTTTTATGGCAGATAATTTAAAAAAACTATTAAGTTCTTTATAATTTAATTTAATATCATAAGAAATAGTTAGGTTCATTATTTGAAATTTAAGAAAGCAAATGAATATATCATAAATCTCAAAGAATTTTTTATTGTGAATTTAGATTCTTCTTACAATTAAAGAAAACCACACTCCTTAAAGCTATTGACTGTACAAATAGAATCTAAAATACAAGTAGTTGTTTAAATTGGTTTGAAACATAAATTCTAAATTTAGCTTCATTATATCAAAGATTATTCTATTATGAAGCAAAAAGACTTTCTGTAAGATAACTCTTTTGATTTAATCACTGATTAAATTCTTATAAATAATTATTTAACTA